ACTGCTAAAGGATTGAAGGTAGTTCTATCTTCAAGTCCCTTTCCCTCCTTGACCTCTTTGATGACATCTTCACATCACAACTGAAAACTTGCCCACTAGAAACAGAACTCAGACTCACCAGGTAGTTTCATACAGTCAACCAGAAGATGGTAATGTCTCAGTCACTACCAACTTTGGCCAGGTTTGACCTCTGACCTAAAAGCAAAATGCTCTGTAGTTCACTATTAATCTGATGAGCCATCCAATCCTCTTCTGTTCATTTGCTTCTGTTTAGTACATATTAAAAAGAGAGGCAAGACAAGCTTTGTATAGGCAGCTTTGAACCAAGGACGCTCCCACCTTACAGATATGTGCATATCTGACATACAGGTATACAACTGATATATCTGGATATTTGGGTTTTCTAGAGGGGTGTCTACAGATTCAGACGTCACTACCTAAAAAGCTAAAATGTCTGTCTATATGTTATATAGAGCTGATCCAAAAATGGGGCTTCCCCTTCCAGAGAAATTTTTGACTTTTCATTGGAAAACTTTTTCCAGTTTAAGGTTTGGTTTGTGGATGAACATTCTAACATTTTTACGGAAAACAGATACTTCATGAAAATGTTAGTTTCACTGAAAATCCAGTTTGCCCATCAAAAACAGTTGACAGAATTTTTTTCAAACTAACACTATGTGATTTTTAAAAAATCTACTGAAATAAGTGGCCTAAGTTAATTGCAAAGGGGTGTTTTATAGTTAGTGGTTAGTTAATAATTTCAATCGATGCCCCAGTGATTTGCTATTTATAGTAGTCATATGTGGGTGGAGCAAATTCCCCAAAACATCTGTTTTTAGAGAAACAGCTATCAATGCTAAGGACTCGGCTGTCACAAAGATGGGCCATACCAGAAGGAGCTCTGGAAGACATAATAACTAAGGCAATAATGCCCTCTGGGGATCCAGGGAGCACAGAAAAAGGAGCCTTCTAGAGAGCACTCTGCGCCTGGCCACCTCCACAAAAGGACTCCCATTGGGCCCACTCACTGTCTTGCATACCCATGCAATCCCTGTGGGAAAGACATTCTACATGTCCTCTCTTTCCATTGCAAACCTGTGCAAGGGCCAGCCAGTCTGTCTGATTAGCTTGTTTGTAAGTTAACTAGTATATAACCAAACACTCTGAAGGTAGAGTACTGTCATTCAGGAACACAGGCATTGTCAGTAGCAGGTTCATCTAATCCAGTATCTATCAAGTGACCAGTACCAGATGCTTCAAAAGAAGTTCCAAGAAAACCTGTAATGGACACTTATGTCCATGGAGGAGGTGGTTCCATCCTAACCTCAGATGGGTAGTGATCACTTTATGCCATGAAGCACAAGGGATTATATCCCTTATTTTTTTAATCCCACCAAATGTAATTATGTAAACTACACAATACAAATGTAATTCTTATTAGAATCTTTTTATTGTATTGCCATACATAATAGCAAGTAAAATGACCAGAGTCCAATCCACCTTATTCCTATCTCATGTTCTCCCATTTTAAATACTAATTTAGGAACTGAACAGGTTTGCCAAAGAAGACAGAGAAAAAGCAAACCATACTCAAGAACCAATCCTAATTCTTAATAAGAAAACAGCTACTTACTACTTAAGATGGAGCGCTAAACACAAGACACTGAGAAACAAACAGCATTTTACAACTCTCTAAGAACAAGACTAAAGGCATTGTTGCAAAATTAAAATTAAAATGTGTAACTTGTTAGATACAGAACAAACAAACAAAAATAGTGGCCAGAAATTGCAAGTGACTTTAAGATTGTCTGAAGTACTAATTAACACAGATCAGAATTTACATCATGCTCTCTGGCAGACTGGAAAAAAAAAGTAAGAAATAAATAAATTTTGCCATTTTTCAAAATAAGTTACAGTCCAAAATAAATTGTAACTTCAAGAGTTATTAGCAAAAATTGAGAGTATTAATTTCATATTACTATGCAACAGTTTTGAATTTTGAAAAGCATTCTACTGGATATTATCATTCCCTTCTCTCTTGTTGTACCCATCCCTAAGAAAAGTAAAATGTAGCCTCAACACATTTTGTATCACCTAAAGGGTTAAATACAATGCATTCAATATTTTTTTAAAGTCCAAAAACAAGTATAACCACAATGCAGTTAAAAATTAAAAAGCAAGAAAAAGAACTGTAGCTCCATACAATGCATCTGCTAAAAAGAGCTAGATCCACAAAGTGAATCTGACAGAGTCCTGCAGGAATATTAAGTACACGGCTTTAAGCTGGGGTTCTAAGGAAAAGCATACGGTAACTCATTTGCTGCTATTGGAATAACAGGTGATGGAATTCCTGGAATCTGCATGAACTTAATGTACTGATCACCTGCTGACAAAGTAATTCTGCTCCCTGTGACTTTTAATACATGAACAAATTATTTGGTATAAGTCATAGAAGTCAGAGATGAAAAAGATTTATTAGAACACTGTGACCACTCCTTCTGTAGATGCAAGGAGTAGGATATTTTAACTCTGCCGCACCAGAGGAGAAAGAAAGAGGACATACTAGGAAGGAAGGGTCTCAACACAGTTGCTTCTCATGCCAAACAGTACCTCTGCTAGGGGTTCAAAGTAGAGGACATAATATACATGTGAATGTGTGCATAAGCACACGTCTGTTGCAACAGCCTTTGCCAAGTGGCCATGGGGCATATGGCTTGTGCAGAAGTTTAAGGGGGTTTCATTTGTCATTTCAGTTGGTATCTATTGCAGGCTCCTTTTCTAGCATTTGCGGTACAATCACACACTCTTTGTGCACTCAGAACTCTCAATGAAATCAGTAGGACTACTGAATGTGCCAGTAATGCAGGACTGAGGCCCTGCTAATTATTCTTTACCAAATACTAGAAAACCTGCACAAATTTAATAGGTGCATCCTAAAAAAGGTGCACATCTCCCCCTGCCTGCAGAGTCCTCTACTGTCCTCCCTAACCTCTTCCACAGACAGATCGTCATAGAGCTGGCTATTTTAGCTCCAAGATGTGTAAGCTCCTGGCTTGCTACTGGATGAGGATTTGTCCTGCACAAGTAAGTAAGCCCTGAGACAACTCAAACATAAAAGGTTCAGACCAGTGGTAACAGACAATTATTTAACTCAATAAACATATTTGGCCTGTTTGAAATGGATGTTTAGAAGACAATTTAGATGTGCCTTTCCTAACTTTCCTTAAGAGATACATGAGCTGCTTTAACTGACCATCTCTAAAAAACAGATTGTCGGTCCAAGGACATTTATGAATGCACTATAATAAACAATTTGCTAGAAGGTGGCTTGCTCTAGCTTTTGAATCTCATGGGTGAAGAAGTCAATCACCTCTTAGGATTTTCTGTATCCTTTGTGCCTTCTGTGGCTCATCACCACAAGCAGAGAAGGAGACTAAAAATATAGAGGGGAAACTCCAGACAAATCTAACTAGATACCCCTCTCTTGGGAATTTGGTTTTTCCTTTCATAGGAACCGGTATTTTCCAAAACACATGTTTATTGTCATAAAATACAACTAAGCTCTATGAGCACACCTGGCAAATCTCTTCTTCCACAAGCTCACATTTCAGTTACCTTGTAGATTTCTTGTTTAATAAAAGTATCTCCGCTGTCTGGTATTTTTTCTGTGAGACCTGAGTTAAAAGTTTTATTTTACCCCATCTATTTAATTGCCACATTTTCCACTGATAGCAAAATTATTATAAACCCAGATTATTTCCAACTGAAATTAAGAGATTCTTCTTTATGCAACTTTACCATAAACTACCTGAACACCCCAAGAAAGATATTAATGAACTGTATCACATTTCCCAAGATGTTACATGATTACCTTACTTTATAATTTTTTCCAATTTCCAGTAAAAGACAAAAAACCCTCTTGTGCAGCCAGGTTGTGCCAGATCATATGGGGGGTGGGAGGGCAGGCAGCACACTAGTCAAAGCAAGTTAGCAACCTAGCAACCATATATTAAAAGGTGTGTGTGTTCTTGTGAGTATTTGTGTGCCAGGAATAACTAAAGCAGATATTATTCCATGTGTAATCCAAAAAATGTGAAAAGGGAAGGGGAGAAACTCCAGCTGCCAGTCTATTTTGGGGTCTTAAATTGCCTGTCAAAATCCACTTTAGCAAATTCAAAGCCTTAACACTTTCTGTCCCATTTCTCTCAAATAAAAAAAAAAGGGGGGGGGGGAGATCAGGATAATCTGTGTTTAGCCAGGATCCTAGTTTGGGTTTTGAAGACGACCTCAGAGAAGCTGAAGTGTTCACTGCACTACTTCCCATTTGGTAAGGTGTAAATGGTGGCAGGACTCCAATGCACCTTTAAGTGCTACATCCTGGCGAAATTATAGAAGAAAATCTGATCCAGTGCAGTTACTTACAAATTCACAAAATACATCTACATTTATCACACCAAAGAGAAGCCCAGGAGAGGCGCTTGGTGCTATGGACCTAGCCTCAAGAGAAATGAATTCTACCAAGTTTTTCCTTCTTGGTGCCATGGAAGAAAACAACTTAATTCAGCAAAGAACAACCAGCACCACCAAACTATCGTTCCCCCTGAGAGGTCTCTCTAGTCGAGGGGAGAGTCATCTTAGGGGCCATCTCCGCGGAACTGTCCCGCTATGTCAAAAGGCAGCATTGACCTGGCCGGCAGACAGCAGGGGGGAATTCTCCTGTCACCAGCCGCTGAAGATGGAGCCGTCTCTGTGGAAACATTTCCTAACGTGACACGGAACAGAGCCACCCTACAATACTCAGCCGCTGCTCCTCTCACGGAGTCTAAAAGGCGACCCTACAACAACACCGCCATTCGATCAACGCTTCAGGGCGCAACCCTACAATAAACACCAAGCAACCCTCGCCTTCGCTCCCAGCTCCCCAGCGCCTTGGAGACCCCCTGAAATCGCCCCCACAGACGGGGCACCCTCCCCCCACCGCCAGGGGGAGGGGGGCTCACCTTGTTTTTGACCCCGCAGTGACAGCAGACGGTCCACAGGTACTTGAGGGTCCTCCAGAGCAGGATGATAAAGAGCCCGCCAAAGAACGTGACCATGGACGAGGCGAGGAAAGCCCACCACATGCGCTGGCCGCGGCTATCGCAGGGCACCTCCATGGTCACCGGGATGATGAGCGCATCCATCTTGGGCACGCTGACCGGGGACGAGGACGAGTCCGTGTTGAGATTGCCGGCGCTGATGCTGTTACTCATTCTAACGCCGCCGCTGCCTCCCGAGGCGCTGCTGCTGCTGCTGCTGCTGCTGGCGACGCCGCTGCCATTTGCCATGGCTAACAACGAGCAGGGCGCGCGGGAGCTCCGGAGAGCTCCCCCCCGCCGCCAGCGCCCCCCCAAACACCCCTCACCAGCCATGCCGCGCAGTCCCTGGGCCCCCGGGCCGATGTCAAATGTCCCCCTCCTCCTGCTGCTGTGGAGAGGAGATGCCCGGCCCCCCTGCCTCCTCTTCCTCCCAGATACACAGCCCCCACCCCACCCCCCAAATCGCAACCCCCACGTCCACCAGGCTAATGCCTGCGAGCCACCCGCGCCTTCTCCAAGGTACCAGAGCCGCACTCCCCCTCCCCCAGTGGGTCTCTTCCAGCTTCTGCCTCGGCTCTCCGCGGCGGTGGTTTATCGGTAGCAGTCTTGAACTTGTTTATTATTAATAATCAACCCCCTCCCCCGCACACACCCTCCTCCTCCAAGTCCAGCCCCTTCCGCGCCTCTCCCCACTCTCTCCTGGCAGCAGCCTCCTGGGGATCCTAATTCATCCTCCACTTGCCCATCTGCGCTCGTGCTGCTGCTGCCGCCTCCTCCTCTCCCATCCTTCAGGGTCCTCCTCCAGGGCTGAGGCGCCGGCTGCTGCTCCGCCCGGCACGCGGCCACGCACCAGCCCCCCGCTGCCCCGGCCGGGTTTGTCTGCGCCTCCCTCTCGGCTCCTCTTCTACCTGTCAGCGGCAGCCCCTGCGACGCGTGTGGCCCGGGCTCCGCGGGGTGACGAGCGCATGAAGGAGACCCCGGGGGGCTTTCCCCCGCCCGGGACTCGGCGGCGGCTGGAGCAGAGGATGCTGAGCTCAGGACAGCTGCGGCTGCCGCTTCCCCGTGGTCGCGGTGCGGCTGCGGCTCGGCGCTTTCCACCCTCCGAGCTTCCTTCTCCCGCGCGCTCCGCTCTCCAGCTTGGCCCGGGCGCCCCCGCTCCGGTGAAGCCGCCGACTGGGCTGGATGAGGCGCGAGAGAGACACAATTTACAGGTAGCAGCGAGGCGGGGCCACGCTCAGCCCGAGCCCTGCCCGCCCAACAAGTCCTGCTCGCCGAGCCGAGACCATTGCTGCCCGCTCCCCAGCTCCGGGGCGCGGATCGCCTGAGCCAAGATGGGGATGGACGGATGGAGAGAAGGAGGGAGGGGGAGCATGGGGAGGGTGCAAACAAAATCCCCCCCACGCTTAAAAGCCAATGTGCTCTTGGCTGGTTTGGTGACTGCCGTGACGTACCGGCTAACGCACGGTGCCTGTCATGTCTCTGTGTCTTGCTCCCCCCGCCGCCCCCCCCATTCGGCTAATGCGATATATTTCCAATACAGATGTTTTCCATCCTCTCTCTGTACAGCAGATCGTAGTGACTGGAATGCGAAATGGGGGGCAGAGAGAGACGCACACCGAGAGAGAGATGGGACTGGGCAGCGGAGCTGCTGTTAGCTTGCTCAGCTGCCATTCCTCCTGTTTATTCCTCCATCTCCCTCCCTGGAAGCAGCGAGGCCAGGGCAATTAACCAGGCGCAGCAAGACTAAGAGGGAGAGTAGGGGCGTTAATCCTGCTAGGGGGCGCGGGGGTAGAAGCAAGGATTTCTGCCCTGTTTAATCTAATCAGAATCTTAATGCGGAGCTAAGAGGTGTTTGGGGGGGGGGGGGGGGGAAGGGGTTATGTGTGAGGAGGAGGGGCAGAGAAGGGAGAGAAACGGATCTTCCAAACGCCAGTGGCTGGTTGAGTTGCAGCAGCAGGTGCCAGAAGATATGAGGAGGAGTTGCTGTTTCCAAAGCTCGCTGGAAAAAAAACCCAGTGAATTGAACATGGGGAAACTGGGGAGAGGGAGAGAGAGGTCTTTCCCATGCGTTACAAACATTGTAAATGGCTGCATTGCCCAGGTGCCTCCATGAATGTAATCTAGCGCCACTCATAGAAAAGAAACAACAAAATCTGCTCTGACCCTGACGCTTTTCGTCTGCCCATTGCAAAGAAGTTCAAGGTTTAAAAAATGGTTTTAATCCCCCTTCGACACATGCTCCGCTCACCCTGTTGTCTACACAACGTGCTAGGCAGATTTTGCTGTCATTTCTCCAAGGCTAAAACACCGAAGTCTGTGCATGCATGACATTTCCCCAGCAGATCTGTTTATTGGTCGTGTATAGAGCCACCATTATAAAATAATCATTACTTAACCTCTGACCGTAATGGTGTCCGTTTCTGCATCTATCATGGAGACTTTTTAAAAATCGAAATAACCACATTTGAAGACTGCATTAAGCTTTTCGACAGGGTTGCTTTTGAAAAACACACTACCTGACCACTAAAATACATAGTGCAATTTGGTCCAGAGGGGTAAGTGTATTATTGTAGTTTGCTCCTGTACATCTCCCATATTCAACCAGAGAGGTGGCTTCTTCTCACTGGTAGTCTGATAACTTTCTTCTGTATGTAGGAGGGGTCGTCACGATAAATTCAGAGGTCGTTAGGAAGTACTACTCACCTGGCCCCTTAGGAAACTGGCTAATGGACAGATATTTAACACCTGGGAACTAGAGGATTAGCAAGGATTACTGTGACAAGGACGAAGAGGGGGCGTTCTTCTGGCTGGAAAGTGGGTCAGGTTGTGACGCGCTCTCCCCTGATACACACAGCCCCAGATTATGGTGGTGACAGTAGCTTTCCCCCTTTCTTACCAGTTATTGACTGCTCACAGATGTTTAAAAAACCACAGAGGGGACAGCTGGTGCTGCAATGATGTAATTATTAGATAATCCCACCCTTGAACTAGGACTAGAACCGTGATAATAACTCAATTGGCAGAGGCATCTGGGTTAGAGATGAAGAAGAGAGCTCCCTTTAACAGGGGTTATACATACATAGGAATCCCTATACACATCAGGAAAAAGCAACCACCTATGAAGTAGAGCAGAGATGGTTGCGTACCAGTGCACAGCTACTCCTCCATACTTGATTTTTCAGAAGTGTAAGTGGAAACTGTAGGTCACCAACACCTTTGGAAACGGGTCAGAGGATTACCAATGAAGGTCCCTGAACACTGGAATGTGCTGTGCAGACTGGCCTGGTCTTTCTAAACAGCAGTTCCCACACCTACAAAGAATCCTCTTTTTAAAAGAGTGGGATCAGGATAGATCTTAACAGGCACTAAACCCTAATTAAAGTTGGTTTTTAAACATTAATTTCCTTAGGCTATTCACACTCCCTTTGAACTTCTTTGTATGAATATTCTAGGACCCAGTTCATTGTGAATACTTGTGAAAAGTTAATTTTAGGCTTCTGCTAGTCAAATATTCAGATAACATAACTAACAGAACAGTGCATAGGGAACTGTAAATTGTAATTTCATACTTGATATCCAGGTTGAAATCCTTCCTGCTGTTTAGTTACATATGGTCACAATACTGCAAAGACTTATGCACATGCTAAACTTCACCCTCTGTGTAAATCAGCTGACTTCAAATGATGTGATTTAGGTAATCAGTTAACAGAGTAAATGGCTAATTTTGAATATTTGCTTTGAATTCTCCATAAGTGATCTGTGAACAAGAACTAGGTATGAAGAAACTTATGAGTATTGCAAACCACAAATAAATCAGATAATTTTACAGTTAGTTCACGGATCTGTGAATGCATAGAAATAAAATTTGTAATGAATTATTCAGACTGTCCAGTTTTAGATCAAGAAAAGCCACTTCTTTTGAAACATTTAAAAAATATATAATCCGTTTAGAAAAAAAAGTGTACAGAAGCTGCAAGCTTAATTGACTGTGTTAACAACTGCACTTGAAGTTGTATTCAAAGCAAACAAGGTATTTAAGGCTACATTTTCTGGAGTCATCTATTCTGAGTAAACATAAACCCATATATAAGTTCCTTTACTTAGTATTTCAACAAAGATGACCTGAAAAACTTGTTTAAAAACACTAGCAGTTACGTAAACATCTCTAATGAATACTGTATTTTTTTTACTCTGTCTGCGGCTACCAAGTAATAAGATCTGGGACATGATCCTGACAGGGTGATATAAATCAAGATGGTCTGGTTTTGGAAAGCAATAATGTAGCAGCCAGAAAACAAGTCTTCTTTATGTAAAACAGTTCCCTCTTGTGGATATTCTGTGTACAGTGTCTCAGATGGAAAGTATTTAAAGTATTCCTCAAAAGCTAGAGTTTTTTTTTTTAACCTGCCAAAATCCAAATTAGAGATGTTCCCAGCAAACAGGACAATTCTTCTTCTTAGGCTTTAAATATATAGGATCAGGAGAAAGGGTGGAGGAAACCAAACCAGCCTATTTTAGTAGAAATATTGCTTTTAAATATTTCTTCATATATCATTAATTATTAAACTAATTAGAAAAACAAATATCAACACAAGCAAGAGCCAGGAACAGCTGAAGGACTGTAGCCATGCATAGGTATATATTACAACATTCTTGTCTTATGTTTATAGGAAAGAAGCTTTTTCACATTGCAATGATGGGAACAAAAGAAAGAAGGGGAAAAATATACAATAGAGATGATAGATACAAGAATTTGGAATGTGACTGTGGATTTCTCACTCACCCCCAGACTCAAATACTGAGCTGGAGTGAACAAGCGGAACTCCCTATACCAAAAAGACCAAATTCATGCCTGGCATAACTCCCATCGGTGTCCATGAAGTTATGCCAGAGATTAAATAAGCCTGGTGTTATTTAAAATAAAATAAAATAATAAAATTGAGGCAACGGCCTGCCGAAGACAATCTGCACACCTAGAGGAAAGGTAATTTTAAATGTCATATTTTGCTCTCTACAGTTTAATTTTTACTGTATATAGAGAGGTTTAGGAAAAAACAAGGAAATAGGTAAATGGGAAAGCAAGTGTGGCCCTTTACATTTGTTATCCACCCAAATATGAACCAAATTTTACCTAATCAGAGATTGAAGTATGGGAGCTGGGGCTAGGACTCCTAGGCTTGGTCTGCATTGCATCCTTACTTTGATATAACTACATCGGTCATGGTTATGAAAAATCCACACCACTAAGCGATGTAGTTATACCAACCTTATGCCCCACCCCTCATGTAGACAGCTCTATGAAGTGCATAGCTCGCACCTCTC